GGACAATGATCAGAAGAAAGCTGTTTGGCTTACTGTAGCAACACTATTTTAAATTATTTTTCATCAATATTTCACCGAATGTACAAGGGTGACATGCAAAACTCAAACTTGGCCAGGATTCCGAACTGCTTTATAATACAAGTATATCTAAATTTGAAAAAGATTGGATAAAAACAGTTTGAGTTATTGTAACCTACAGAGATCAAAGAGCAGTGGTCATCGCACTGCACTTGTGCGACATTTGCGTTGATAAACATTGATTTTCCAACAATCCAATTAGCTCTAATGGAAATCACAAGTATGAGGATTGACCTGGACCCTACCGCCAGTGACTCCTTCAACATCTCCAATCACCTAAAAAATATCTAATTAAAGCTTGGTAACGTCTCAGTTTGCAACTATCAAAGACACCATCTTTGTTTATGTGTGACCTATTTTGTGACGCGTGGCGTATTCATTTTGAATACTTTTCACTTTATCTATAAAGATATAGTCAAGGTTATATGAATGAACATTACATAGTCCCAGTCAATTAATTGTCAAGTTCAGGAAATGTATTCATTCACTAAAAAAAAACAAAATAAACAGATGTCGGCCATTTCATCTAATCAGACAAACAAAATGATGTGCGTTAAGGTCCTGTAATGTTCAACGTACATATTCTACTACGTATTCCGACTACAAAACATTCTGCGCTTAAATTCCACCAACCCTTTGCGAGTTGCAGCTACAATAACATTTTGTCACTTTCGCCACCAATGCCACCAAAGTAATTTCAAACCATGAAATATTCAATGACAAGACATGAATGTCACATTCCCAGTTATTTAATTATAAAATACTGCAAACAATTAAATTAATATGTACTCTATGTGGGTACAACTCATCATAAAGTGATTTCCCTTAATCTGATAACTGAAAACTTTCATTGACCCAGTTCCAAAATCTCAGAGTACACAAGTGCAACCAAACTATGTCTCATACATGCTCATGAAACTGCATTCATAAATCTGAGTATACCTTGATGTACCTTTAATAACAACTTTCATTATCACCACTATAACTCCCATCAAAATGTAGCCCTGACACCCCTCTACAATTTCGCACTGAGATAGGTAATTGTACGACCCATCTATAACTGATTCAGATCAAGGTAATGACCAGGTCATAACATCACCAAAAAACCCTAGCATTACAATGTAAGCTAATTATTTATTATGAGCATGCTCAGTTGTTCTCTCAGTGGTGTTGGGAGGTAGTTTGGAATGAAAATCATGAAAAAGACCCATTTAGGATTTTCAGATCTGGAAAAAAAAAATATGTGCATACTAGACAGAGACTTGTTCATCAATCTGCCAAGTTTCATCAATATCTGCAGGAGAATTTCTGAGAAAATGTTAGAGATGTCACAATTGGAAAATTGAAATAAGAATTAATAGTCAGCCTTCCAGGCTGCGCCTGAAACAGGGACTAAACATGGTCACCATTTTAAAAGCATGTCATTACCTACAGAAATGTCAATTACCGGTAAACATCAGGAAAATCAATTAAAATTAAAAATTTCAATTAAAGAACTGAAGATATCATTAGATAATTAACAATATGTACAATATCAAATCAAGCGGAAACAAGCCATGCATGGCACAGTCCCCGTTAGTTATCAAATTTAAGATATATAGTTTTGTTTATAGTAATATAGACATAAACATGTCAGGGATATGATTATGATGATTGTTTAACATTAAAATGATTGACATTTGTATCTGATCATCAAACGAGCATTGAGAGATATTGCTCTGGAACAGCATTAATTAAAACAAAATCAGCCATTTTGAATACATGTATAATGAATATATAAAATTTGAACATAATCAGTCAAAGCATATAAGAGATATGGCACTAGCGTTGCATTCATTAATACAAAATGGCCACCAGTCGACTATTTTAAATCCGATCTGAAAAATAAAATGACGTGCATCAGGAACCCATAATGTCTAATGTATGTACCAAGTTTGAACAAAATCTAGCCATAAATGCTTGATATTTGATGATTTTTTAGCACAAAAAATGGCCACCATTTGGCCATTTTTAATAGGATAGTCAAACCAATATATCTGTATATCTATGACATGATCTATAATGAATATTCAAAATTTGAACGTAATCAGTCACAGGAAGTAAGAGACATGGCACTAGAACCACATTCATTAAAACAAAATGGCTGCCAGGTGACCAGTTTTAATCTTATCTGAAAAACAAAATGATGTGCATTAAGGTCCTATAATGTCTAATGTATATACCAATTTTGAACAAAATCCATCTGTAAACAGCCAAAAAATGCTTGATTTTGATGATTTTTAGCACAAAAATGGTCGCCATTCGGCCATGTTGAATCAGATCGTGAAACAAATTGACGTGCATATGTATAATACCATGTATGCTGTATGTGTGAAGTTTGATTGTGATTGGTCCAGGCATTTCTAAGATACAGATCCGGACACACGCACGCACACACACACACACACACACACACACACACACACACACACACACACACACGCACGGAGGTCAAAACATAAGTCCCAGTTTTCAGACTGCGTCAAAACGGGGATTAAATATCACCTTTTATCAAAAATGACAAAAATATTCATCAAAATTAAAGAATTGAAGATATCATCATGAAATGAACAAATCTGATAGAGGTTTACCTGAGGTACCTATATGCACACAGTATCGAAGCAATCAGACTTGCTGTTTTTTAACAAGAAGTCGAAAATATCACTTTTTACCAAAAATGACATATTGAAATGAGTATTGAAGAAATCATCATGAAATGAACAAATCTAATAGAGGTCTACTCAAGGTACATATACACCAAGTATCAAAGCATTCAGGCTTGTAGTTTTATTATGAGTAACAAAATGGTTGTTGTGAATAATTTTCAGACTACACGTATTTTCATGCTTACCACTTGTTTGTTTGTCCCATTCAAGTATGACCTAGAAATCCTGTTAACAGAAGCTTCAGTCCAATAAATTCGCCCTTCTGATGCATCAAAATCCACTGCCAAGACATTTGACAGACTGTCCCATATAACTGTACTTTCTGCTGTCTGTATATCATGTCGAATAATCGAGTCAACATTTGAAACAACCATATAAACAGGAGCTGAATCTAAAAGTGATATGTTTGAATAAAAGAAATCACCACATTCAATTTCACAAGTACTATAATAACAAAGCAAA